CAACCAAAAAATCAACTGAACACAAAAGGAAAGCAAAACTAAAACCAAAAAAAATCGCACTGTTTAGACAATTTTTCCACGGACACTCAGCGGAGATTCGAATCACTGAAAAAATATATGTAAGTGTATTAAAATGTTTGAATGCACTGAAGTAGTTATTAGAGCATTTAAAGACTTTTTGAAAAAAAAATAAAAAAAACTAATAATTTCGTTTTTCTTCACTTAAAAAGAAAAAATGCCTAATCGAAACTTCAGTACATGTAAAAAAAGAGCACTTCAGCGTGTTATTTCTTATATACAACCCGAGAACTGTTTAAAACTGGAACACCAACGACATTGGAATCATTCCTACAAAAACAATCCATAAGAATATAGAAAAGACTAGAAATTTGTAAAACAGCGCATACAATTTATATAGTGTGCATCTATCTTTTGAGAAGAAAGCAAACGAAATTCAGAGCAATAAATTTTCATAAAGAAAAAGGATTTTGACAAAAAGAATTAGAACATCGCACATTGGTTAACTGATAATAATTTATTCCAATGTGCGATGTTTTTTGAGAGCAGTTTTGTTCTCTGGTATTTAGCATATGGACAGTGTATGCTTAACTGAAGTCAAGTTATTCCATACATCTGTCCAGGGGCGGATCTAGGATCTTCGAGGGGGGGGTCGGACTTTTTCCAAAAAAATGTTGACCTTTTCTAGGCCGACCAAAAATATTTGATGAGCTCTCCGAAAACACTATATAGACCCCAATTCAAAAAAATCTGCGCCGCTGGCAAATTTTTGAAAAAAAACGCCAAAAAAGTGTTTTTAGAGACTTGGAAAATTTTGACCAATTGAAATGGAAAAATGTTGGAAAAGATTTTCGAAAATTAAACAAGCAACAAAATCAGTTCGACTTCAGCTGACGTTTCAAATTGGCCAGCTAGGCAGAATACACGCAATGAAACTACTAGAAAACAACACATTGCTGGAAAAAACGAATTTTGATTTTTTTCCGCCTGATTTCTGATTTTTTTTAAAGAAAATTTTGTATTACTTTGCACCAATCAAAACAAGTAAGATTAAACCAGCAACACATTTAATCCGAAAAAACCTGGAACCCTTCAAGAAACAACAAACTATTGAAATTGACAAGCTTCAAAAACAATAACAAAAAAAACAATCTAATAATTATTCTTCTTGCTGAAAGAAAAAAATACTATAGAAAATTTCGAACCAAACAAAGATGTAGAAACATGAAAGAAACGCTGCTCAGAATAAACTAATGGATTTGAAGTTCTGAAGCCCAAAACGAACGCCGATTTTCATTCCTTAAAACAGAAACTCCAGTCAAACAAAAACAAGTTGTAATGAAGAGAAAGTTGAACAAAACCTCAATCGAAAAAACGCAATCAAAATAATGTTGCTAAAAAGACAAAAAAGGTCTACCATTGAACCAATTTAAGAAACGATTGGGTCCGAAAACCTATCAATATCTGGAAATCAAAATAAATTTAACTATCGGCCCTCTGCAGCTTCTTGAAAAAAGACAGCATTCATTTTGAACGGAAAAAAGTTTTGGAATGGCTGAATGGATGACTTGCCGGTTAGATGGCTGAACGGATTGAAAGCTGACGTATGGATGGATGGCTGGATTGATTGCAGATGAGATCGATGGAGGGAGGGCTGGCTGGATGGATGCATGGATGTTTGACTGATGTATGGATGGATGGCTTGCTGGATAAAAAGATGGAGGGATGGCTAGATGGAGGGAGGGCTGTAGCAATGGCTCGATGGAGCGATGGATGGCTGGACAAATAGATAGATGGATATTTGGCTGAATTGATGGTTGGATCGATGGATGGACAGATGGTTGTACCGATTGACTGCTGGAGGGACGGATGGATGACGCTGGAATTATGGATCAATATCTGCTAGAATGTATGACCAATGGAAAGCTAGATGGATAGTTATTTGACGAAGTGCTGTTTACATGGATCGATGATAATGCCTTGGTGTATGGATGGTTGGATTGATGGACGATGGATGCATGGCTGGCAGGAAAGACGGTTCGCTAGGGGATAGAAAGCAGTCTGATTGGATTGAAGTGCGATGGATTGCTGGTTGAATGGACGGACAGTTGATGAAAAGCTAGATAGATAGATGGATGAATAAATAGCTGGATCTTAAAATGGACGGCTTGGTGAATTGCTGCTTGGACAGAGAGAGGGACGAATTGACGGTTGGAAGAATTGACGAAGGGATAATGGTTTGATTTATGGTTTGATGAATGGCTACCCGGATGGATGATTTGTTTAATGGATAGATGGTTGGATAAATAGCTGGATGAATGAACGGTTTTATTGCTGGATGGCTTGATTTATGGCTGGGTAGATGGCCGGTTGAAAGGGTGTCTGGGTACCTGAATAGATGGATGGCTCGATAGATAGGGATGAACAGTGTGGCTAGATGCATACATGGCTAGATGGCTTTATGGATGGATCATGGATGGCGTTATGTTTGAATGGATATATGGCTCACTGGAAAGATAGATTGCTGGAGGCTGGTTGGATTGCCGGACGATAGGTTGCTTGACAAATCGATGGCATGATGATGGGTGGCTTGATAGATAGATGACTGGAGTAATGCTTGGAAAACACGGAAAAAAGTTTGAGGGTTGAATAGATGGAAGATCAGATGAATGATGATTGTATAGATGGCAGGCTGGAAGGCTGGTTGGATAGATGGCCTGATGGATAGTTTGCTGGTTGGATGGATGGATAGATTGATGGATGAATGGATGGCTGAAAGAATGGATATTGCTTTGCGGGATGGATGGTTGAATGGATGTTTTGATATATTGCTGGTTGGATGGATGACTGAATGGGAAATTTCTAGACAGATGGATGCCCTGCCCTGGGCTACCCTGCTTTGCTGCTCCTCGCTCTGCCATGCCTTGCTGCTCATCGCCCTGCCTTGCGCTGCTCCTCGCCCTGCCATGCGGCTTCTCGCCATGCCTTGCTTCTTCTCGCCCTGCCTTGCTGCTTCTCGCCCTTCCTTGCTGCTACTCGCCCTGCCTTGCTGCTCCTCGCCCTGCCTTGCGCTGAAATCTTTCTTAAGCGCTGCAATTTTGCTCAAACATGTAAAATTTTGTTTGTTTCTGAAAGCTTAAATATGAGACATATGGTACAGCTTAAACATGGGTAGATTGGCAGTCGCATTTAAATATACAATATAAAATGTTTTTTTTAATTGACAAAAAAAACTAAAAGTTATTTCATGCCAATTTTAACACATTTAAACTACTTTAACCTGAGGTAATACAAAAAGTTAGCCACGAAAAGTAGCAGACATCAACTCAAATAAAACAACAATAGCGTCTAGCAATTTGGAACAAAATTACTGAAAATTTTGAGTCGATTGAATTCTGATATGTGGAACTTCACGCTTTCGAGGTCTTCTTTTCTCACATGAAATAGCTACTTTTAAGAAAAGGGTCAGAATCCAATGTATAACAAACTTAAACAATCAAATGTCGGAAAACTCAAACTTAACGATAAATGTACAAAAGCTAATGAGCTATTTTATCTGCAACAAAAAGAATTAAATACACCGATCGAACAACGAAAAACAACAAAAGTGTGAACCAATTCTGTTATCTGAACTGAGGACAAAAACAAACAAAAAATTGAAAGCTTTTTTATCTTATTTTTTTTTCTCTTTTTAGAGCCTTGAAAATTGATTTAAAATTTTTCAAAATTTTATATTAGTAATCAATCACCCCCATATAATACCAAAGAAAGTTGGTTAAAAAACATTCGAAAAATAAACTGACGAAATGAAAGCCGACCTCTTCCAGACCCCAAATTCTACCGAAGTTTTCGGCATAGAAAAATAACTCTTAAAAAACACTCAAAAGGAACCCAAAGCCGATACCTAATATGCAACTACTACACACTGCACAAAACATGGTGGTTTTGAAAAGATTACCATTTCTTTCATACTGTGAACAGCTCTTTACGGAAAAAAAAAGCATAGCACCCGATTGCACTACCCTTGCTTATCGGAAGTGTGCATTTTTTTAATGAAATTTGAAAAATTGATCTAATCTGCAATTAATTCTTGCATTTATTTCCTGAAAAACAAAAAATTCGTAATTTCCTTCTTTGAAGTGCCTTGGCGGTAATTGATCATTTCAACAGAACCTGCGCGGCTCAACAGCACCCTTTCTCGCAAGATGCCTTTTACAAAGAGGCATATTAAAACTGTTTGCTTGCTGAAACCCTAAAAAAAATTAGCTGATTGTATATGCTGTGGTTTACTAGAGGGAAATTAACAATTTAATTAAACTATTGGATTGGTCAAAACCTTGTTTCCGAGCACCTTGTCGGGTAACCCTAGAGTTGATGATTAGTTCGCACAAGCTAGACCTGGTTTTTCGTTGCATATTGAACTCTATGTAGAGACGTCTGAGTTTCAAATACACAAGCAAAGGAGCTTTTAATTTCTCCGCGGCAGATTTTAATTTACGTCTTCTTTAGAGTTATACAAAATGGTGAATAACTCCAGTGAAATCGACTCTGAAATTTAAATTCTGAATTAGTTAAAAGAAAACATCAAAACTATGGTCAAAATGATATTGAAATTGGTCTTTTCAAACGAATTTAGTCAGGTTTCATTCATTTCAACTCCTTCGTTTCAACTGATCATGATCAACATTTGGTTAGCTAAGCTTCGCATTTGTTTGCTTTTTTCCGATAAAACGAGGAATAATTTCAAATGATAGACGAGGATGATTTATCGTGGAGTTTTGCACTCGGTGACGTCTCTGACGAACTTATCTCCTTACGTCACAAATCACCCGTGACCCATGCCGACGATAAGCTATCCTAAAAAGTCCCTTGTTCACGTCCAGAAAAAATTCACTCGACTTAAAGTGCTTAAATTAGAAATCGCTGAACATTTTTGAGCATAACTGATAATTTCTTTAGGACATTGAATGAGATTGTCTAACCTGCGGTTGAGAGGTGCTCCAGAAAGCGCAGGTATCTTGTCTGCTGGTGCCATGTCTCCTTGATCTCCTCATTACTCATCAACACTATCTCATCGTCACTCTTCGTCACCTGAAATACACCAAGATCATCAATTCATACACCAAGATCATCAATTCATACATCAAACAGCAGTAACAATTGTAGCCAAATCGATGATCAGATGCCAAAATCAGTAGGATCACCTTTTTCTCGAAACCCCAAATCACAGAAAAAATTCGCAAACCAAATTTTCCAAAATTACACACTTCACAGAGTAACCATTCACTAACGCACTTATAGTGCAAAAATGCTGATTTGAAAAATCCAGCCACGCGAAGGAGTCAATTTCAAAAAACAGCAAAACTTTTTTTCAATAGTTACACAGAGGCGAAGTTGCACTTCGCATACACAAGCGAAATATGACCGATAACACTACTGGGAAAAGCTGAATGAGTAAACCTTTGAGTCTACAATATTTTTTAAGTGACGCACGCCAATTATGAGTCGACATAATTGTTAAGTGACGCAAGCCAATTATGACCCATTAGCAGTACCAGTCAATTTGAAAAAAAGAAACTTACCAAATAACGTGCCTCAATTTATAGAGCGGACGCATTTTAGCTAGTATAAGTAAAAAGTTCATTAAAAACATTCGACCCTGCCCAGGTTCGAACCCTCTATTTTGTTGCAGGTCTCCTTCCCTACCTTTACGCTACAGATCCATGATACCTTGAAGCTAAAGTGCTATTTGTAATATAATAGTCTGTTAATATCCTTAGCATTGGCTGTACTTAATAGCTGGTTATTAATCAAACCTGACTTGTTTTTGAAAAAACTTCCTGTTTCGAAATTCTATGAAAAAAAATAGCCCTAAGGCTCTTTATATTTCAAGAACAAATTAAGATTGGCTATTCTTGGTTTAATTAACTAATTTTGAGAAAACTGCAAAAGTAGGTAAAGTTTTTATTCCGCTGGGAAACCTTAAAACTTAATTCCACTTTGTTAACTAGAAAGCGTTCACGTTTCCTCTCACCATTTCCACTTTTGTAATTTTCGAAAAAATTTCGGCTGCTTTTTAATAAAAGCACTTGAATGATATTTCCTGAAAATGAACAAAAGAATCATCACGACTACGTTCATCGACTCTTAACGAAGGAAACGATGTCGAAAACATTATTACAAAAAAAAAACATTGCTTCATATTGTTGTCCCGTAACACAAAGTCATGTTAAATTTGAGAGCATGCCCAGCAACACATTGCTTCATATTGTTGTCCCGTAACACAAAGTCATGTTAAATTTGAGAGCATGCCCAGCAACACTATCAAAGGTAGAGACTAAAAACTTGGACATATTTATCGAGCGCCAATAATCCGAAAAAACTTGGGTAAACTCGGTTGAGCCAAATTAAAATGGTCAAGAATTATTTTAGCTTGTTTTTTTTAAACTTGTTTCGGCCAAAAAGTTTTCGGTTTTGTATCGAATTGGTGAGTTTTCTGAAGGCAACCATAATTTTTGTACCCTTACCTCCGAAAACACGCAAAAAGATTGAAACTTTTGCGTGTTTCCGGAGGCGGGGATGCAAACATTGTTTCTTTTCAAAAAAACACCAAGTCGTTGAAACGAAAACCGAAGCAATTTAGGCCGAAAATATATAGAGTCAGCTTAAAAAGCAAACCAAATAAAAATTTCAAACTGAAAATTGCCGGCCGACACAAACATTCCAAAAAAAAGCTTTGAAACAAATATAGTAAACACTAATGATACACAAAACGGGGTTTAAACATTAAAAAAATATATTCATTTCTTAGTTGTGGCAAACAAGCCTATGACAATTGAGCGAATGAACAATAAACCGATCAAAAATGAAAAACCATGACTTTGAATTTGCTAAGTCCCAGGAACTGACGGGACTCTAATCGATGATTGTTGTCAACGCGTAGTATCAGACGCTGGAATTTCTTTTGCCTATAAACCACATCCATATATAAACCTAATTAGCGCCCTCTACAGCTGAAGCTGCTCCTGAAAAACGACAGCATTTATCTTCAACAAAAAAGTTCTTGAATGGCTGATTGAATGACTGGTTGGATGGCTCATGTATAGATGGATGGCTGGACTGATCGCTGATGGATAGATCGATGGAGGGAATGCTCGATGCATGGTTGGCTGAAGGAAAAAAAGAAATGATAGACCGATGACCGGAAAAAAAGGATAAATGGCTGGATAAAAGGATGGATTGATGGCTAGATGGTGGGATGGCTGTATCAATAGATGGATGGACATTGGATCGATGGATGGGTAGATGAATTGCCGGAGGGACGGATGGATGGCTCGTTGGATAACTGAATAAGTGGATGTCTGGAGGTTGCATGGATGAACGATGGTTGGCTGGTTGCATGGATGAATTATGGGTGGCTAGACGGATAGTGGCTTGATAGATTGCTGGTTGCATGGATAAATGATAATACCTTGATGAACGATGGATGAAAGGATGCATGGCGGACTGAAAAGACGGATAGCTGGCGGATAGATGGATGGAAAGCAAGCTGGATGGATTGATTGCTGGTTGGATGGATGGACAGTTTATGTATGGCTAGATACATAAATGGCTTGATGGATGGACAGACGGCTGGTTAATAGGCTGGGTGTAAGAATCGATGGTTGGATGGATAACTTGATGGACTGCTGGTTGGTGGATGGACGGATGAATTGATGGTTGGAAGAACTGATGAAAGGATGATGGTTTGCTGGAGGGGCGGCTGGATTCCCTGATGGTTTATTGGATGGATGAATAATTGGATAAACTGAATGGATGGGTAGATGGCTTGATGGGTGGATTGGTGAATTACTGGAGGGACGGATGCCTGAATAGATAGATGGCTAATAGATAATCGAGACGGACGATGAGTGGCTAGATGGATGGATGGTGTAATGCAAGAGTGGTTGGGTGAATATATGGCTGACTGGCTGGCGCGAAGGATAGATTGCTAAAGGGATGGATAGATCGCCTGACAGAAGGCTGGTTGGATTGATGGACGATGATTTACTGAACGGGTAGCTTGATGGATTGGTGGCATGAATGATGGATGGCTAGAGAGATGAATGGCTTTAAAGGCTTTGACAGATAGATGGCTGACTGGATGAATGAATGGTTGGAAAAACCGGAAAGTTGCTCAAGGGATAGATTGTTGGGTGGATGGCTCGATATTTTGCTGGATCGATCGATGAACAGAAGATGAATGGCTACATAGACCGATGGATAGAAGAACGGATGAAGGATGGTTGTATAGACGGCAAGCTGGATGGATGAATAGATGGCTGGATGTTTTGATGGATGTAATGCTGGTTGGATGGATAGATAGATTCATAGATGATTGAATGGATAGATGGCTGGATAGTGGGAAGAACGAACAGATGGTGTGAGGGATGGATGGTTGGATGGATGGCGGGATAAATTGCTGGCTGGATGTATGAAAAGATGATAGATGGATGGATTGCTGGTTGGGTGGATAGATTGATGGATGAATTGCTGGTTGGATGGATAGCTAGATTGATGAATGAATAGATAGATGGATGCCCTGCCTTGCGCTACACTACCCTACCTCGTCCATCTTCGCCCTGCGCTGTTCTACACGTCCAAGCCACTCCCCGCCTAGCGCTTTCTTGTCCTACCCAGGCCTTAACCCTTCTCGCCCGGCTCTGGGCTGCCTTGCGCTCCCCCATCCTGCCTTACCCCTCATCGCCCTGCGCTGCCTTGCCACTACCAGCCCTACTCTACATCGTCCTCCTTGTCCTGTCGCGCGCTATTTACCCTGCCTTGAGCTGCCCTACCCTGCCTTGCCGCTCATCGCCCTGCCTTGCGCTGCTCGTCCTGCCATGCTGCTTCTCGCCCTGCCTTGCTGCTACTCGCCCCGTCTGAAATGTTTCTTAAGCACTGCAATACACGTTACAGCTCAAACGTGCAAAATTTCGTTCGTTTCTGAAAGCTTGAACATGAGACATATGGTATAGCTTAAACATTGGGAGATAGGCGGACGGATTTAAATATATAATAAATTTTGTTTCGACAGGCAAGTTGTGCATTGAAATAAAAGACTTGATTTCAATTCAGAAGATGAAGAATAACGTTATAGGTGCTGAAAACACAGGTGCTTGTCAACATTTTTTTAATGAAAACCCTAGCTGGTTAGACAAATTATTAGAGGAAAACAAAATCACTCACTTTGACCATATCTGCAGAGTTGTCCATGTTTCTTCTCGAGTTATATTTACTTTTCTATTCTCTGGAAACAGTAATATGATGATGATCTTTCAACGAACTAGTGAAGATCCTTGTTCAACTGAAAATGAAGATAACATTTTCATGTCCTATCAAAATTCAGCTTAGCATTTTATCTGAAAAAAAACTCATTTATTTTTTAAGGCTATAAGATGCTTTTATTAACTTGATGAGATGTATCCACCTGTCAGGCACATCAGAAAAAAACACCAGATGGCGAATTCTCCAGTTCAATATCTTATCAATAATATCAACTCAATTTAACAGGTCGTATTTGAAAATTAGAGAAACTTAATACAGCAATCGGTTTGCCAATGATCAATCCTAGAGGGACCTGAAACAACACTTTGATGGATACTAACACACAAAAAAACTCTTTTTCATTTAGTTTTCTTCTTGAACCACTAGCAGGATTTTCATTTCAACAATAACGCTCACGCAATGCTCAGGTTTTCGATCCACATAACCCTTTTATTTGAAGCAGGGGCGGATCTAGGATTTTCTCGAGGGGGGGGGGCGGATTTTCAAAAAATTTTCCAAAATTTTGACGACGACCTTTTTTTTTTTTTTTAGGTCGACCAAATTGATTTTTCGAGCTCTCCCAGAGCACTGTTTTGCCCCAATTTTGGCAAAATTTTCTGCGCCGCAGGCAAATTTTTGACAAAAAATAGCGTTTTTTTTGGCGCGCGCTCCCCCTCAAAGTTAGTATATATTGGCGCCAAAGGCGCCTGTAGAAAAATTTTAGGGTCGGTCTGCCAAAAATGGATTTCTGAAAAAGTATCAAAGGGGGGACCCTTTGGGTCGGCAGGGGGTCGAATCCCTGAGGGGGGGGCGTCCGCCCCCCCCCTAAATCCGCCCCTGATTTGAAGAATATTCGTGGGAAACCAGTTGCAAAAACTCAACTAACGGGTCCGTAATAGAAGCTGTCTTTAAATAATCGGCTGTTAGCCGACTGAGCCCAAAAATGTCCTTTGCCAACTCGAACTTGCTCATTTGACACTCGCTTCCTAAATTAGGATTTCAGACTACAAAGCGCTTCCAAATCAAATTTTTATTAATACTTGAACTCACGCAAAAAGATCGCCTTCAAAACCTCCCGCTAATTTAACTGCTAGCTTTTTTTCTTCTGGATGACTGAAATTTAGAGCAAATCAGTACATATGAATTAATTAAAAGAATTTTGATGATGTTTGAACAATTTACCTGAAGACAACGAGCTCATTCTTTCTGATGGGGTGAAAATTGAACTTTTTTATTAGGACCCATTCCCGATCGTAGAGAAACGGCTAAAAATATGAGATGCGAAAATGTTCACGACTCCATTGCCAAATAATTCTTTACTCAAGGTCTAGATTTTTTATTTCAAGTGATGTAGGAATGTTTTTGTTAATGTAAATATCTACCTCTGGGATCAAAATGAAAAATGCAACGATTAAACTATTATGGACAAAAAACTCAGAAAATCATTGACAACAATAATACTCTTTCAAAGTCTTCAATCAAAGTTGATTTCTAAATCGTTGTAATTCTCCACGAAAGACAAGTCTAAGGGAGGCAAATTTTCCAGATCGTCTTGAGGCGAAGCTACATCTGTTGAGCTATCCCTTAAGACTTCTGTTTTTCCTGGTATCACTCCTGTGATACTATGATCGCCTTCTCTTTTGATTGTTTCGTAAAAATTCAACTTGATACGTGGCAACGAATCTTCGCAAGCTATCATGTCCAATATCGAACACAATTGCTCAAGATAAGTTAGATAAGAACCAGCTAGCTGGACAGCATGAACGTTAGAACGAATTTTCCCATCAAATGGAACTACTAGCCTCAGATGCTTGAAAGCTAAAGCGCATTCCTCCCTCCAGTTTCGTCCCTTAGCCGTCATTTCAAATTAAATTATCTTAAATAAAATGAAAACTCACCTCCATCGACCTACCATCTACTTGTCTCACACTAATATAATTAGAGCATACACCACATCCTAGTCCAACTGACAGAAATGAGTACAAAAATTCTTTCATTTAAAGCTTTTCTGAAAATTACACCGTTGACAAATTTAAATTGGAGAAAGCATTTAAATTATTAACTCAACGTTTTCAAACAATTTTTTTTTATAACAAAAAAAACTAAATTACAAAAGGGGCTATTCCGTTTAGTTACGGTAAGCGCACAAGCAGGATAGGGCCATACCAGCGATATAAAAATGCATATATATATCAGCAATGAAGTCATAAATCAGCATTAAATGCATCGTCGTAATGTTAATTTATCTTAGCCGTCCTTCCTCTACAATAGCGCTTATGGAGTTGTCGATAAATTGAACTTTGCGTAGCGATCTGCACCCCCTTTGTGACATTCGACCAGAATGGCCAAAATGCAATCTCTGCAGAAATCGGAATTTTAGCAGTAAGCCTTCCGGATTGATGGTTTTTATGAACTAAGGGCGTTATTGGAACGTTTAGCCAAACGGTGAAGGCTGGAATATTCTAGTATTTTAAAATTTCAAAAATTCGAATGATGACGTCACATTTCTGAGAAATGCTGAAACGGCCATTTTTAACAAAAACGAGTGAAAAAAGAGAACAACAACGTTAGTTGCGCTGACGAGAACAACTTTATCGAAATTGAAGAAGTCGAAATTGAAGAAAAACAGCAGCAGATTGCAGAGAACGTTCCGAGTTGCAACTATTGTGCTGCTACAATAGTTGCAAGGCCGTTGCAAACAACGGTGAAGGGTAAGAAACCAGCCTTCCGGATTAGGAAGAAATCAAGATCAAGGAGCTTGATTCACCGGATTCAAGAATCCGGAAGGGTCTCGGGACGGAAAACTTTTATTGACTCATATGAACTTTTAGCATCCTGTCATGTCCTGACTTGAATTTAGTTGATATTTGGATTAGTTTTGACAAGGATGAGGTGCTAAGAGTTGGGGGGAAAGGGTTGATCCATCTTCGATGGAGATGATGATTCTTATCTACTGAACAAAAACAATAGTAATATAATAAGTAGTAGCCCTGTTTTTAGGAGTGACCTCGTGGTCTGGGGATACTGAGACCCAGCCATGAGCTCACTATTTTTGCATGTAATTCAGTTAATTTGAGCGTTCTGGTCGAAGCCGGAGAACAGTAACGTTTTTGTCGACCCGATGTTAGAAAGACCACCGAAAAGTACTGGCTTGGTAGAGACGGTGAAAAACATGCAAAGCTCTGTTTAGACGCTAGCCAGTCGTCTTAAGACTTAGTTTTGTTATCCGTCGATATGTATCTTCCGGGCGAATGTTACATGTATGTTTTTATGGCGCTCCTGGGTGTTATTTTTTCATAACATCATGACCGGCGGAACCGTTAACGAGCACTCCGCGCCGAGCGGATGCTCACATTAACGCCCTTAATAGGCCTAAACTGCCGGGGCGGAAGGGTAGTTCGGAACGCGGAAGCCTTCCGGATTACCGTGAATAGTTTTTTAACCTAGTTAAGACCGAAAATTCACGAACCAGGAAGGGTGGGGGGAATCATGAACCCCTCATCCCCTGAGTGGTTTGTGACCAAAAACACTTAAAGATATAAGCAAAACCAAACAAAAAGTAGTATAGTACCCAAGAAAAACAAAAAACATAAAAAATAACCGAAAAAACCAAAAACAGTAAAAAAGTAAAAAATCAGTAGAAATCATCCCCCCAGACAAGATGTGATTCAACCCCCCCGTTTGTTGTTGATAGATATATTGTTTTTACAGGCATTTATATCAGTCAGGATTGTTACGATCAGTTTTGTAGCCCGTTTGTGAGGCTTGTACTGTAGGGTTATTTGAGCATTTAAGCACGTTAATGATAAATTGCGCTCAATCCGGAAGGGTCAGCTGATTTGCGCTCAATTCGGAAGGGTCCTGGGTGAAGACCGATCCGGCAAGCAGTACAAGGAGCAACAAGAAGGGGCTCAACGACAACAACAATCGACTGTTGGGTATCGTTAACAAGTTTTGTATCCCTTTTGGTACAAAAAGTAAGATAGTAATCTGTGGGGGGCTCGACAGTGCTGCACTGTGGTGACCCTTCACCGAACTGCGAATATCCGAGTTAAGCACCTTAATTCGGATAATAAACAAACCCGGAGGGGTATAGTATTACTAATATTATTACTTATATAGCCTATATTAATAGTCTTATATCGTTTTTCAGTGAAAAACAACGAAAACAGACCGGTTTTTAGGGTCAAAATAGCGATATTTTGATCCCCCCACAAGTCGCGATTTTCGAGATATCGATATTTTTTGAAACGGAAAAAAGCGCTAAGTTAGTGTGTTACATCGTAACTGCACTACTGTAATAAGTAGAGCCGGTTAACTTTAGTTCGGAAGTGGTTGGAACTAGTTTGGTACCAAAAACCAAATTTTCCCATTTTTTGATAGTAAGAAACACTATAAAATCAGAAAATTTTTTGAAATCTTTGAGTTAGGACAGCAAAAATAGTTGTTCGGACAACGTCCACTAGTGAATCTACGAGTTTTAAAACCCGCTACCCGAAAGCCTTCCGGGTTGCAGAGAAATCGAACATAACGTGTTTGATTTGGTGGATTCATCAATCCGGAGGGGTCCAGGTAGCATAGTTTTTCGCAAAATTTTTCTACAAAAGCGTTTTAGATCGGGTTTTTTGCATTGAACTAGAAGGGTATAGGCCTTCTGAGCTCAGATCAATAATTTTTAGGTCGAAAGGACCAGATTTGCGGAAAAAGTTAGGTGGAACCTATAAGAGAGAAAATTTTTGAGTTTGGAAAAAAGACGTTTTGGTTAATAACTTTGGAACTACAGAGCATATCGAGTCAATCTTGGTACCATTAGATCAGAAATTAGCTGATCTTACTAGTAGGAAAGAGAATTACTCAAAAAAGCGAGCGAGAAAATTTTTTGAGATTGTTTTTAGCAAATTACACAAATCCGGAGGGGTACACCCTTCACGTTTTATAAATTTTTCTGAAAACCCTTATACCCCTACCAAAAGTTGATAGCGATTGAACTAAGTAACTTAGGACAGTTCTAGACAAAAAGGGAGGGCTGAAGGCACAAGACAACCATAATAGAGTCGAAATTAGGCAAGTGATAAGACCCTTCACCGTTAGTGTGAATTGTCAAATAAGTGCCTTAACTTCAATCCGGAGGGGTCTAGGAAAGGACCATATACCCTTCCCAGTTAATTCAAACAGCATAAACGCAACGCAGAACGTATCCGGAGGGGTATAAGCTGAGATTAAGAAAACTACGAAAAGCTACTTTGACAGAGCTAAGGGCTCCCAATCCGGAGGGGTCGAAATTTTTCAAAGTCAGAGGGGTCCGAATCCGGAGGGGTCTACCTTCCACAAAACCGGAGGGGTCCGAATCCGGAGGGGTCTTGTAGTTGCTAATTCGGAGGGGTCCAAATCCGGAGGGGTCTACTATTAACTAACTCGGAGGGGTCCCAATCCGGAGGGGTCTATATTCTGACAGTCCGGAAGGGTCCTATTTGTGCCGATCCGGAGGGGTATTATTTTATTAAGGACTTAGGTAAACGAAAGAAAGACTAAAAAGCGAGAGGTATTAGGTTATTAATACACAGGCTAGGTATCATTGACTGCACTGGTAACTTGCCTTTCAAAAAGAACCAGACTAATACAAAACAGGTCCGAACTTGGATATTCGCGACACTAAGTCTAAATTAAAAAGAGCGTGACTCATTGGTGTGGATTGAAACATAATACGTTTTTGGGAAAAGTGACTGCCCTGAGGATTTTAGTAGGTCTAGCTCGGACAGTCCGAAGGCAGAATAGGTAACACAGTACTCGGTGGGTGCAATAGACGCCCACTTGAGAAAATTACTGCCTTCAAAGTTTTGTCTGTTTGGTGCAGCACCAAGCAGGGAAAGCTTTTTCTTTAAAAGACAGGTTCGACTATCGTACTGCGACCGACTAAGAGTACAAGACACATACGTTTTTTTATATATACATTCATATTGTGTCAATATATATTTTTTGTGTTTTTTTTTATTTTAAATCAACCTAAACTGTGCTTGATTGGGTAGTGAGTACACTATCTTTTAAAATTGACTGATAACATCATATTGTGCTAGTTTCCAGATCTTTGGACCGATAATCGGTCAGTGTGAATAAATTTTATACAAACTGTACTCTGACAACATACAGGGATTCGTGGTCACTATTTAGTAGAATCTGGTGAAATTTATTGTGTTGTGTCATTATTATTGTTAATAAAACTATAAGGTCTCTAGCAATTGAGTCAAGAGTGGGCATAGGAAAATGACAAATAAAGAATGAGTTTAGACAAGTCAAGGATACCAAAACGAGGTAATAGCTCTAGGAAATTCATACCTGAAAAGCAAAGAAAAACGATGACCGATCCTTTTGTGGATTGGATCAAGCGAACCCGGTCCGATAAAGAGGAGACGGTTTCAGGCAGAATGGTTGAAACGAGAAGTCAGAAGACCTCAGAAGAGCGAAGAGAACTGTTAGAAGTGGAGGTCATTACGGACCATACCATGAACGACAACCAGGGAGTAAATGGACTGGAAGGGAGAGGCAGAAGGCTGGCGAGTGAATCTACTCCGGTAGAACAAGGCCATGATTTTGCCACTTCCACCGGGACATTGGATCGAGAGGAGATGTCGGAACTGTCCGACATCTCAACTGAAGTAACGGCAACTAGAAGATCTCCGACAGACAACAGTATGATGGCAAGCGGAACTGGGAAACAAACAACCTCATCATCGTTCTCAGAAAGAATGAAGAACACCTTCGGAAACATCTTTCCATTCAGCATGGGAGGAGGAGCAGGAAACGATGGTGAGTCCCAGGAGGAAGAGGATGAAGAGGAGCAAGGGGACTTTGGATCTCAAGTCAGCCTCAATAGTTCGATCCAGGAGAGTGAGGCACACGTCGGAAGAGAGACTGGAACCATGGATAAATTTGGTGTAGTGACAACGATAAGCAAAGAGGCAAACACACCGGGCCAGTCAAAGGACTTCGCGATTAGGACAAGTTCGGAGCCA